GGAGCTCCGAGTCTGCGACTCCCTCCGATTGAAAACGCCAACCGGGCCCTCCGCCGCCAGCCCGCTCCTCACACTCCGCACCTCAGAATTTGACTTCAGCACTGCGCCTCCTCTGAGTGTCTGTATGCGTTACTCTTTCCTCCTAGTTGTAGGAATTCCACTCAGCCAGCGTTCCTGTGGTTCTGGGTGATGTCTGTTCCGTCTTTTAGTTTCACTTTTGAAGTGGTTGTTCAAGGCAGCAAACTCAGGCGTTAACCTATGCCGCCATCTTGGTTCTCCCCTAGCCTTCGCCCATTCTGGAGAGGATTTTTAAAATATGTTTGTCAGAGCCCCATTTCCAGAAATGTAGTGCACGGCATTGATATGTGTTTTCTGAGAAAGCCTTTTGGGCTCTCATTTGTGCCATCCATTGAGATTCAAGCATCACATGAGTGTTTGAACTTTTCAGCTTCTTTCCCAGCCTGAGGTTCTCTGGCTTGGAGTTCAGAGAGCTCTCTTGCTGTTTGTGGACAGACCAAGAGCTTCTAATTGTCGAACCTTGCTTGTTGCTCTGTTGCAAGCCTCCAAGCACAAGGCACAGGACTGTGCAACCCCATGGGTGTGAACGCCATGGTGCTGAAGTCTGAGTGACAAGCTGTTGTCCGAGGGCCTGTCCTTCCATTCACTGTGTCCGGATCGAAGGAGGGGAAGAAGCGAGTCCCACATTCCTTCCCACTGACTCACTTGCGATGATCTGGCCCAGCCATCTTCAGCATCTTCAAAGCAACGGAACACATTCAACCCTGGACTGTTCCTCGGGATCTTACCCTAGACCAGGTGTCTCTCTGAAGGGAGCTTGGAGCCTGGGCTGAGTCTCCCGCTCATACACCTTCTCCAAATCTCATTTCATGGTGACAACTGACACAATTCTGCAAACATTTTTTTTAAATCAACCTATAGTTTTTTTTTTCATAAAATATTTTATATACAATCAATGTAAGCATACATTTTGATGAATATTAGCAAATATCTATAATCATGTATCCACCACCACAATTAAGAAATAGGATATTTTCATCACTCCAGAGTCCCTTGTGCCACACCTATGGGTCATCCTAACCCTAGTCCTAGGCATTAACTGATTTGCTTTCTGTCGTTTTAGATTCTATTCAGAAAACATTAGTTTTGAGCCCAGAGGTCAAACCACAGCCACAGGACAAATATGGCCCTGGTTTTGTTATTTTTGTGTTGTTGTTTTTTAAATTAAATCTTTATTGTTCAGATTATTACAGTTGTTCCTCTTTTTTTCCCCCCATAACTCCCCTCCACCCAGTTCCCACCCCACCCTCCGCCCTCACTCCTCACCCACTGTCCTCATCCATAGGTGCATGATTTTTGTCCCGTCTCTTCCCACATCCCCTTCACCCGTTTCCCCCCCAAGAATAGTCAGTCCATTCCCTTTCTATGCCCCTGATTCTATTATAATCACCAGTTCATTCTGTTCATCAGATTACTCACCTGATTTTTAGATTCACTTGTTGATAGATGTGTATTTGTTTTTCATAATTTGTATCTTTACCTTTTTCTTCTTATTCCTCTTCTTAAAGGATACCTGTCAGCATTTCATATAATACTGGTTTGATAGTGATGGACTCCTTTAGCTTTTTCTTATCTGTGAAGCTCTTTATCTGACCTTCAGTTCTGAATGATAGCTTTCCTGGATAAAGTAATCTTGGTTGTAGGTTCTTGGTATTCATTTTCT